TATAGAAATAACAATCCAAATCCTTATTGTTGTTGACACTTTGAGAATACACGTCACAATTGTCACACCTCTAATAGCTCACACCCAACACTAGCAATAGAAGAATGATTGAGAAGGAGGAGGGAGGTTGCAATTTTCCGCTGGTACTCTTCTAGAAGAAGTGGCCACAAATCACAGGGTATCAGCCCTATTTATAGTGCAGTCAGGAAACCCTAAATAAGTCCAAACCCAAGATTATCTTAAACCGGACAATTATGCACTTTCCTGATTATCCATTAGAGACTATTCTAGAAACTCCAAGGCTCTAGAAAATTGTCCACAGCCTATGGAGGGTTCTAGATTGCCTCGTGCTTAACTATTGAACAATTACAATTCAGTCCAAACACTTTTAATTAACTTTTTTAATCCCAAAATTAAGTCTAATTAATTTATGATTAAATATTAATTAAATATTACTATTTCTAATTAATATACTATTCTCACAATATAGTAACAAATTATTTATTTCTATTTATTAATCAAATTAATAAATCAACCTCTTTCTGCAAAATCATCATTTCCAGTTGCTAGTCTTGAGGGCAACCCAAAAGGACTATGCTACTATCAATTCAAATATATATCAATTATAGTTATGGGCTTAGACAACTAATCAAACAATATGTTTCATCTTCTCTCGATGATCCATGCTCTATTATCCAAGCTCCATGCTCGCCTCCAATGCTACAAGTTCCATAATTCCTACAAAATAAGTCAAATATAATAAAGTACCAAACATTTCAAATAAAACATGTAAGTGCCCAAATAGTTTACTAGATGAAAAAATTAGGAATTAAAATGCAATGAAAAGACAGAAGTAGATGTGAACAATAGGTGCACAAAATGCACCTAACAATATATATATATATATATATATATATATATATATATAGAGAGAGAGAGAGAGAGAGAGAGAGAGAGAAAGAGAGAGAGAGAGAGAGAGAGAGAGAGAGATAATGTTGGTTGGATAAGATGACTAGAAAAGATGATATGAGATACTTGGTCTCAAAAAGACGGGTAAACCTATAATACTCGATTATCTTAATATATATATATATATATATATATATATATATATATATATATATATATATATATATATATATAGAGAGAGAGAGAGAGAGAGAGAGAGAGAAAGAGAGGGGGGAAGAGTTATATGGAAAATAAATATTAGGGTAAAACATCACTTTAGAGTAATTTAATGAAATCATCCATATCATTTGGTTAAAATTACACTTTCGGTCCCTACCATCTTTCTTTATAATTTCTCAAAGCCTTTGATGGTGGATAAACACCAACAACTAGCCCCACTCACCCACACCCTTTCATTTTCCTATACCTTTCCGTTAACCTCCAACATCATTAATCTCTTACAACCATCACCGATAAACACTTAGACCAAAACAAAATCAAAACTAAAAGTGAAACCTCCAGAAATCAAATCCCTAAATCAAAATGTTAACAATATCAATTCATGTAATCGCAAAATCAGAATCTTAAATGAAATCAAAACTAATGTTTGTGAAGAATTAATGGTTTGGAGAAAAAGTGAGAAATATGAAGATATATTTTGAAAACAAATGCAAACTATCTTTCAATCTATGGATTTGGTGTATCTGCAATTTATGGAGAAATCAGTCAGTAAGTATCAGATCCCCAAAATGGTAAACTAAACGGATCATAACAATCCAAAATAGAATCTTAAAATTGCAATTCATACGAAGAATTATGATATGATAAAATCAAAAGAAAAAGAGGAACTCACATCATGTTGTCTGTGAATGGCCCTTGGTCTCTTATTTGTCCTCCAAGTTAATAAACCATATGAATTGTTATAGATCTATTCAGGCATCATCGGTGGCTTCAGGCGGCATGGCACAATTGTGTTGAACTTATGTAAAGAGGGAGATGTAGGTGGTTAATTTTGAAATTGAGAATAATCGGATGCGAATAATGGCTTGCACAACAAGCAGAATTTCTTCTTCCCCTCTACACTTAATCACCATCTCCAAACCTTCAACCAATTTCAAAAAATGATCAATTCGTAAATCAACAAACTGGAACTGATTTTGAAATTAACAGATGATTTTGAGATGAAAGAAAAAATTGGTTAATTAAGAAAACTAAATCGATGATAAAATTCGTTTTACATTTTCTGGAAATCGACGATCAGATGCAAAAAACAAAGCCGGTGCATTGTATCAGGAGAGGCTGAGATGTGTGCGTTGTAGTCGGAGGCGAAAAAGTTGGTGGATACGCTGGAGATGGTGACATAGGGTCGCCGGTCGGAGATCGATGCTTCATCTATTCAGCGTTCACAATAAACTGGAGATGGTGGCACAATTGTGAGGGAGACGGTGGCTAGGGCAAAATCCATACACGAAGGAGACATGTGGGTTTCTTTTTTAGTTCAGGCGGTCACAGATGGGAAGGAGACTGATATTTGAACATGGAGGACGCTGACTAGTGGGGATGTGGGTTGTGAGAGAGAGAGAGAGAGAGAGAGAGAGAGAGAGAGAGAGAACACAATAAGAGGCGAACCTTGATAGCATTCCAACCAGATGCGCACTTCAGAAAGGAATTTTAACATTGA